TTTGTCCTGGACCTCTAACGACCTCTTACATTCGCACGTGGCATATGGAGATCGAGATATGAGAACTGTAGTATGTATGCTGTGTGGCGAGCACCAGGCCATTTAAAAGCTGTCGATCGGCACACTTGTGTGGGGATTACACCTACGAGGCCGCGCGCTCATTCATTATGGTCAAATCAGTATAAGACCATCCAAGGGGTTAAACTGCAGCTGTTGAATCTTAAAACGACTACGTGGCCACGGTGACATTAGATGCAAGCACTTAACAATCTGTCATAAAAAGTCATTATCATTCGGGTCTTTCGAAGATAAAAGTCGCGGTCATGTTAACTTGGCCAATGAATGAGCTGATTCAAAATCCTGATTGCTTAGGATTTGATCAGCAACACAATTAGTTTTGGACATCAAATGGCGCTAAAACTGCATACACTTGATGTCACGGTGATCATGCTACGTTTTTTTTTTACTTTGTAATCGGTGTATTATTCAGGGCATTCTAACTGAGCCTACACTTCATCCTCACATGTCTGGAGCCCAAACGATGATGTTTGCATGTCGGTTGTCAGAGCAGCAGACACTTGACGTCACCGAGACGACTTATTATTGGTTATCGTGTGATTAACCCATGCCTTTTTGGGGCCAATGCCTTCACTGGGCCAATAACGCCCCGATTCTCCTTAAAAAAACCGCTACGTGGTCGACGTGATGATAGATAATGCGCTGTAACGTCCTGACCTATGAAATTCACCAGTCATCGTATAGGCACGCAAGATCCAAATGCACAATAATTCTTCCTTTATTCATGGATCGATTCCAAACCTGGAACGGTTACGCGAGCACCGCAAAGTCAAGTGCACGCGCTCCCGAACTTGGTCCTTCAATATCACCGTTTGGTGACTCTGGTCCTTCCCGAACTTGGTCCTTCAATATCACCGTTTGGTGTCCGGACAAAAATTCGGTTGAAAAAGTCTAATGGAAAAAGCTGAACGGAAAAAGTCGCCAGCGATACAACTCGCATCAGAAAAAAAGCCAAAGGGTAAAACGTCAACAGCAATAAAAGAGTCCACGAGTCGTCGTCAGGAAGTCCACGAGGCACTGGGACGTGTTTATGATGGCCCACTCGTGACCATAAGCACTGCTTGAAACGCCGAGTACTGGCAACGCAATAAATGGTTGTTCTATGACGTCGTTTAGCCGTACCTCCTGGTATGATGCATCCCGATAACTCAGCTGGAGAATGGAAAGGGTTTGATCTCGTCCTGTTTTGCCCGGATCCGTCCGGTTTCGTCTGGTTCGGTCTGGTTCGGTCTGGTCCCGTCTGGCCTTGTTCTGTCCCATCCGGTTCCTCCCGACCACGTCCGGTGACTTCAGATCCCATGTTTAATTGCGCCCGGGGCGCAATTAAAGACCTTGTGTGACCGGCGGTCACACAAGGTCTCGTGTGGTGCCGCCCGATCCGGTCCAGTCTCGTCCGATCTGGTCCCATCTGGTCGCGTCCGGTTCAGCCCGATCCAGTTCCATCTTGTCTGTTCTCATCCGGTCCCTCCTGGTGTGATCTGGTCCCGTACGGTCCCGCCCGTTCCTGTCCGATCCTATCCACTCCCATCTGTCTCATCCAGACTCAGCTGGTGTTATCTGCATCTCACGTGGTCACAGTTTTATCAAGTATTTAAATGCCTCGGGCCTGGGCCATTTAAAAACTGCTCGTCTGTGCATTGGTGCAGGAGTATTGGTGTATGTGTTGTCAGGCTTCTCCATGACTTTGCCATCATTGATTACTGCTGGAGGTCAACGTCTCGCTGTTACATTTACCAAGACAATCGCCGAGAACACAATGATTGCTTTCTGTACCATAAGGAGCCCAAATACGCGGTCACCAAACGCGCAGTTTGTAAGAATTTTATTCTGAATCTGAAAACGGCTGCACGGGCGACGCGATGCCAGGAATGTGTCGTTCTAGCAGCCTGACATGCAAATGTCGTCACCGCTCAGCACCCAGGCAGTTAAGAGCCGAATACAGGTCACACGCCATGTGTTCAGGATGACCATGATACGCCTAGACTGAATGGTCACGCGGTCTTCCCACAGTGCACGGATCCCAAATAGGAACACAGCTGCATGGGTCGCGGCATCCTCCACGTACACTTTCAACAACCTGATCTCCATGGGGGGGGGGGGGGGGGAATATAGCCTCCATGCATTTTGGGGTTGAATAAATTGTTATTGATAACTTTCTCAATAGTACAATCAACTGATCTCAAATCTGAAGGCGCTTACATGGTCATCATGACGTCGATTACACGCTTTTTTCAACAACCTGACATTCATATATCATCATCTAGCCTCCAGGCACGTGGAGGTAAAAATGCATGCAAGGGTTATCTCGTCAATAGTGCACAGATTCCAATCTAAATGCTGCTAATTGGACACCGAAGCTTAAGATAAATGGATTTCCAACAACTTGACCAACCGAAGTCACCGCATAAGATCCGGATATTTGAGAATTACATTCACGGTCACCTTCTCTCCGACAATAATTCATTGGCTCGTATTCCGGCCTTGCTAGGTGCATGACCCCAAGAGATCAACTTATGAAAAGTGCATCATCTAGGCTGTAGAGCGATCACCAGTCAGTTTCATGATTGTTGGCCGGTACGTTAGTGTGAGAGCTATGCGTGAACACGTTTAACGTTACGTATTATGGTACGATCGCGTGACCGTTTAGGCCAGGCGTATCACGGTTATCATGCATGAGCACGTGATGTGTGACCTGTATTTCACCCCTAATTACCTGGATGCTTAACAGCTACCTTGCACGTGGGACCGCTAAGAGGGCCAATTCCTGGCATCACGTCGACTATGTGGCCGTTTCCAGATTCATATTTTTTTTTACAAATATTGTTTTTGGTTACCACGTACTTGGCCTCTACGTGCGGATTATGCGATGGAATTTTTAGGCCAAGGTTGTAAAATTGCACGCGTCTCAAGTCACGCGAGCCATGAAGTTGTTTCCAGTTCTAATTCAATGCACTTTACTGAAGGAATTTTGGGTGAACACATTTGAGTACCTGCAATAGCTGCGTTTAAACGGTGATATCTGCATGACAGCTAGTTAAAAGCAAATTTTTCTGACGTCATAGCAATGACGTGGAAATCTTTAGATTTGGAATTGACGAATCATTGATGGAGTTATCGGTGACTGCACGTCTAGTCCTGGACCGCAGTAGGAAGTATGCCTGACATCACGGTGACCACATAGCCGCTTTAAAATTTGGAACTAATAAATTGTTGAAGGAGCTGTGCGCTACCACGTAATTGAACCTTGAGCGCGCGGGGGCTGGAAGCAGACAGTGACATCGATGTCAAGGTGTTAAAATGCATATGTTTGAAACCCTGTTGATTTTGGCAGCCGTCGTCAATAAGCGCAGTGATACATTCTTGACGGAGTTATTGATGGTAGTGCTTTTTATCTCAGATCGCTCGGAGGCCGTACCCCGACACTTTCACGTCCGATTAGTAAAAGTGCATACACTTTGCGTCACGGTTGCCATGCAAATTTGCATATTTGAATTGAATAATGCGTTACGATGATGATGCTGTATTAGATGCTGTGTGCGAGACTTGTTTTTTATACTGGTCACCGGAGATGCCTGGGTGACGGATGGCGATCTTCGGAGGCGGGATTGCTGAAAGGGCGGAAACCTGACGCCACAGCATTTTCGTAGCCTTTTATTATGCCACGCTATACGATTTTGGCATTATACGTGGCTGGGTAAACTCTACGCACATTTTTTAAAAAATGAACCCGTGTGCGAACACGCACAATGCGGCCAAGCAGACTCGGGTATATGGTTTACTTCGTTGCTTACCCTGACAAAATCACGTCCCATTAATAATCACCTGTTGGCCCATAGCCATCCCTACATCACCATGTCCATTCCAAATGTGCGAACCGCTTTGGGGCCCTCTGACAGCCTCGCCTGCCACAGTCCTGGTAGGTCAGGCTCCTGGGCTCGGCAGCAGCCTTATCACTTAGAAAACGTGAAGATCGCTGAGGGTCTCCCGCTTGCTTCAAAGCCGCCTTGAATGTTTTGGGGGCCTGCTTGTTTCAAACCTGGGCCCTTGGTACTGTCCGAGACACGTGGTCCTGTCAGAGGGTCACCTCCAGTGCCGTACCTACTTCGAGCCATGCTCCTGCTGGCTGTTGACCGAACGATGCAGAACATGTACGAGAGGAGGCGTTAGGCGCGGCTCGTTACGTGCTTGAGAACGTGGCAGGCGCTGGACTGCGCGGCTAAGGGCGTCTGAATTAAAGGCAAGCATGAAGTGACGCCTAGTGCGTCTCATTCAACCAGCAGACATAACACCGCCAAATGCTTTGCATTGCTCAGACAGGAAATTCCTGTTAAAAAGCCTTTTAGGCATTCCGCGAAGGTTTATTGGTGGTGCTCCATACACTGTTCCATCTCTCAAATCCGGCGTTTCCCTGAAACGGAAGCACCGACCATATAACTGCCCACCTTTTCACTCCCATACGTGGCCGGTTACGCGGCGCCGGCCTGCTCTGTTATGCTCGGGCCCCGCAGCGCTGTGTCGGCAGCTGGCAGGTAGCATGGCGTGGGCCGGAACACACAACACCAGACTGCCAGTCGTTGGCGCTCGTTGATGAAACGTGTTCAGCATTTCAGTTACATCCGCGCACCCAAGAGCAATGTGACGGCTTGTAATATTGCGTAATTATTTAATACTTATCAATAACTTCGGCGCACGCCTTGTGTGGGTTTCGGCAACGAAGCAGTCCCGTGCCTGTTCCATCGGACGAGCGCGCTGGGTCCAGGCGGCTAGCAAAGTACGGCCGTGGAGGTAGCCCACGAAACTTGAACATTGGCCCAAGAGTACAGAATGCTTCTTTCAACGTCGACGAACTCGTCTCCAAACCTCGACAGGACTATTTTTAACTCCCGTGTGACTCGAATAGCACACCGTTCACGAACACAACAGAAATTGCCAACGTTATATTGTCCAAAAAATAAACACTATGTGACGCATAAACAAGGCTGAAAATTTGTGATGGCAATACGCATGACACATAATACCTAAATCAACAAACACGGACCAACCACCAGTCCCAGCCAAGCCATCACCTTTTTACAGACACTGCCACATACGGCACTAGGCATACTGTTTTTTGGTACCAAAACCTATAACAAATAGTTGCATAAAAAGCGGCCAATTTTGACACAAGTACAAAGGAAGTCCGTCCAAAGATACCTCAGCCACCATCCAGGTGCGCTTCCTCGGAAAATAACGGACACGAACTCGAGAACGCGGGCAACGGCCACGTTCAAACGAATTCTATGTTCAGGTTGGTCCAGCGTGGCGCGTGCTGAAGCCCCTGCCGCCGTGGCCGTCCGCCCACGCCCTCACCCGCGCACCAGCCATCCGCAGCAAACGTCCGCAGCTGCCCAGCATACACGCACCACCTGTCGCGGGCTCCGACGCAGCGCACAACCAGCTCAGTCCACACGTCGCCCGTCCGCCGCGACACCCACACCCACACCCACCGCACGCGAAGCAGGCCGTCTCCACGCACGCCGCCGGCCGGCCGCGTCCTTCCGGAAGCGAGCACAACAAGGCGACGGTTAACAACGGTCGAACCGCCGCGGCGCCGGGCGAGCGGGCCTTGTGAGTGCGGCAGAGCCGGGCGGACAAGACCTGCCGCCGCCGGCGAAGCTCAGAACCCCGCGGCGAGGGCGGCGCGTCGGCCGCGGCCCGGTCCGTCAGGCGGCGCGAGCTCGGCGCCGGTCCACTACTCAGTCTTCTTGGCCTCTGTTGCCTCGGCCTCCTCGGGATGGTCCTCGTACCTGAGCGGGAGCGGTCGGGGCGTGAATGTAACGTGCGTGTGAAGACGCCGGAGCGAGCGACACTCCCAATGGACGTAAACACAGATTTCAAGCACATCAGCCACACACTCCATGGCATGCAGCACAAATTTCGCGCAACGCATCTGCACGTTCCCGACGAATCAATCCAGTAGGTCTCGAAAAAGTCCAGTCATTCGGTCCCCGGAGACCCCTTTCCGCACACCGCCTGCCCCTGGAGCGCTACAGCGGCCACCAGGGACTGCCGCCCAACCGGACATTCCGGCTCAGCGAGAGACGACCGCGTCACTCACTGGAACATGGTCTTGATGTCGCCCCGCACCAGGGCGAGCAGGAGCGGGGTGCCCAGGCACGCGGGCACCAGGTACAGCAGCGCCGGCTGCGCGTGCTTGTACACGTGCATGATGAAGATGGTGGTGAGCAGGCCGGCCACATAGGCCGCGAACGTCATATAGAAGTACACCTTCGAGCCCCGCTTCAGACTGGAATCAAAGAAGCAATGTCGGCTCTCGGAATATCTAGGCGACGGGCAATTACGTTTGCACTGGGCCACAATAGTGGATAAAACAAAACAATACCGTGAAAGCGCAGCCAGGTGTTACCCCTGATGCGTGCAATACCGAGTCGTATTTGTCCCACGCCGAGAGCAAGGGTGGCGACGGGTGCCGGGTCACCGGTGCCCGGTCAGCTGACACTGGTGACACCAGTGACCCCTGGTGCACAGGGTCCTGCTTCTGCCGAGGCTGTACGGGCGGAGGCAGCAGCGGCGCTCACCTCATGTCAAAGCGGAGCAGAAGGGCGATGAAGATGCCCGGAATGACGATGTCGCCCAAGCCCAGCATGGCGAAGTTGTTGGCGGCCAGGCCCTTCTCCAGTAGATCTTGCGGGAAGACGACTAGAAAGAACGCCAGGATATGTCACGGGGTGGCGTGCAGGCTGCGCCCCAGCCCCTCGGAGGGGCTGCTGTGGAAACCCCTCACCGCGCAGTGCAGCATACATTAACACAGACACTCATCGTTCAGCCCTCGTAATGGCCGAGTTCGGCCCTGGTCTCCAGTGCGTATGTCACAACCTTCCTCTCCACACTGCACATTGCCAAGAGCATTGAAAGTCCGTGGCTGGCATTTTAAGACGGGTGTGACGCGTTAATCTGTTTATCGCCGTCGCTGCTCCTCCGCTTCTACCTCCCCCCCCCCCCCCCCCCCTCCACACAGTAACCACTCTGGCGGCGCGGGGGTCTCACAGGGAGCCCACCTGCCCCGTCCCGGCTTTCACTTACGTTTGATGGGCGCCTCGAATGAGCGGGCGACAGTAACCATGACGTCAGTGCCGAACACCCAGAAGATGTCGTAGATGAAGAGGCCGCCCAACAGGATGACGCCCGTCAGCACGCTGTTCAGGTGGAGCATCTCCACCCCGTTCACGGAAAACGCCAGGCCGAAGATGTTGTTAGCGATCCAGTGCTGAGGAGAGACGGGGGGGGGGGGGGGGGAGGGTCAAATGGGTGCGGGACGAGAGCCTGGTCACACTCCCAACTCATCTGGTCAGTGCGGTCTTTGTCCTATTCTCAGCCTCCTGATCTTTGCCGGAGCCCCCCCGTATAACAGCCTAGTCCCATAAAAAACAACAACAAATTGAACTTCACTGCTTCCATATGGAGCTGGCGGCTCCTGACCTTGGACTGCGACGCCACTCTGCCCGGCTCAGCCAAGCCCACCTTATAAGCGAGCTTCGCCATGTCGGAAGCATTTTTCTACACATCGGTCTGCATACGCTCCTGTTCTATGGATGGGCGAAGAAGACACGGGAGGAGAAGGTCACGTGTGACGTGGCCCACCCGGTCCTGGGGTTCGGAGTTTAACGTCGGCCGCGCGACTGACGTGACTGCTCAAATGACTTATATTACGCATGGAAAGGACTGGCCGTGAAACAATTCGAACGCCACACTTCTCGGGCCGTTTGTGCGCCTCTGGTACTCGGGCTCCCGGACGCCGATCTGGATTTTCCGGCGGGTCTGTTCGGATTTAAGACGCCATTTACGAGGGTCGCACGCTTCTCATGACCTTCTGTGGGCTCGGTGCGACCAGCAGCACAAGGATTTTTCACGCCTACAAAAACCTTTGGCGGTCTTCTGGTCAATTGAAAACAAATAACCAGCTATGCCTACGCAAAATGCAAAGCTATTTTGCCTTCATTGTAAAGGAAGATCATCTGCAATACAGTATGCCACACGCGAGGACCGATACTTTGCACAGAGCTCTAAGTTCCTCGGGAATCAAGCCTTATATGCATTTGGAGGCATACTTCTGCTTCATTCCACCGCTTGATTACGCCCAAAGTGGGCACACCGGTTAAAATAGACTTCAAAGAACAAAACGTGCAAAAAACTGATGGTTTTCAATGTGTGTCCTCCCTCCATGTATGACTTATAATACGCCTTACCGCTGCGCACACCAACGTGCGCCTACGACTACAGCTTGCAGACGGGTGTTGCCCGGGTTTCTTGCGGCTAGTACTCTCCGGGAGGGTATTCCCCGACTTTGCTGCGTACGCGGCCCCCTGGCGAGTACGTCCAGGGATCCCCAGCCGGCCACCTTCAGGCGGGTATTCCCTGACTGTTGCGTACGCGGCCCCCTGGCGAGTACGTCCAGGGATCCCCAGCCGGTCACCTCCAGGCGGGTATTCCCTCACTGTTGCGTACGCAGCCCCCTAGCGAGCACTTCCAGGGATCCCCAGCCGGTCACATCCAGGCGGGTATTCCCCCGTCTTTGTTTTGGCGAGCTTCCACGAAATGAGTGCTTTTCAGTGTTCCCTGTAGTCAGCTGCCTCCAGAAAGGCATTCGACACGTTTCTTGCACCAAGCTACCCGTGATTGGTCAGGCGCAGAACAATGGGGTGGCGGTGACCCCACGGCGGTGACGTCAGACTCAGAGCGGCCATGACGCGACGGCTCTGTTCATGCCGTCGCCGGGGACCGAACACATCGACACCACTCCGCTTGGACAAGTGTGCTCGGGCATGGGGGCGACCGGGGGGGGGGGGGGGGGGTCAACGGGCACTCTATCGACAGGTGTGGCGCGCCACGAGGCACTCACAAACACTGGCCAGTACGCGATGCTGCACATTTCTGAAGAAGCACAGCCATACCGTTCTCAGCGGGTGATCTCGTCTTCATCCGGCCCGTCTGACCATTCCGCCCCCGTCTCCCACCGTTTGACGTCACTCCTCCTGCCTCTGACCGCACCATGTCGTGGCCCGCATGCCCCCCCCCCCCCCCCCCCACAGCCCCAGCGGCAGGTCGTGACGACTCCTGTCCGCGGAGCGGGCGCGCGTCACGACTGAGCGCCGCCGCTGAGCTTCCATACTCCCGAGATGCTCTCCTAGACCTCGTGTTCTCACATCGCGCGATGTGGCGTGCTTCAGTTCAATGAGGTTTTCCCAGAGAGCGGCGGCATCCAAAGCCTTTTGGGGTTACGGCGTTTCATGCGCACCACGAACAAAATGCTGTTTTTGCAAAGTGGGCGAAGGTCCGGAATCCTGTCCCATGATATGGAGTCGCGATGACGGAACAAAAAATAACCCTTCCAGTCAACTAACTTACACGCACAGTCGCCGCCATTCCGGGCGCATTTTTTCGATTTTTTTTAGACTTAATCCGGGCCCTTTTTAATGGATGGATTTATGGAATCGGAGCTCACCGTAAGCAGTGTTTGTTATGTGACCAATGATCCCTACCAATTACAGGCCAATGACGGACTTTGGTGGCGAAAGCTTGATGTGCCACATTGTTCGGCACGGTCCGTCCTGCTCTCTAACGTCATCTGATTTTTGTCGTGGCCGCTGCCACCGGCCGCAGGCCATACCTGTCAAGGGCAAATAGCAAGTGCTTAAAGCGACTCGAACCCACCACGCCACGGTTGGATGAACTGAAAGGCACGCGCTCTAACCGACTGAGTCACCGGGACGGACGGGAGATGCCGACCGACAGGGAGGGCCGGGCTGGTGTGACTCCATCCCAGAGTGAACCTGAGCCCCAGGGCAGCGCGGGCGGGCGACGCACCTTCTGGACGAGGTACCAGACGCCGACGGCAGCCGACAGCGCCAGGCTGACCAAGTCGTGTGTGCTGAACTTGAAGTCGATGAGATCCTCTGTGGCATCCTGAGTCAACCTCAGGTGGTACTGGATGAACGGCACGGAGGCTGGCAGCAGTCGGCCGACGCGCTCGCTGATAAGATGCGTCAGCGCCAGCACGCCGAGCATGAAGAAGTAGCCCGTCAGCAGCAGGTTTATGTACTCCTTGCTGAAGATCTGCAGCATAATGTGACATGGTTTGAGGGACACTGCATGACTTGATGAGATGTGAACTTGGACTTTTCAATAAAGATTTTGAGGTGTTTACATTGTGTGGTAATCATGATGATACAAACTGTATTTGCAACAAAGTTCATAAATGGTTAAAAGAAGAAGCAGCCTTTCTGTTACCTTTGCTTTATTAGTGTATGGGATGTGTTCAAAACTTCAGACATGGATGCCTTGACAATGATTAACAATGACAACATGAACTTTAATTAATGATTTTCCTGCCAAAGCTTTTAAAAATTATACAACTTACCTTAAAAACAATGTAGATTCCAAATAATGCACAACTGGCTATAATTGGAAACATTGCTGCATCCTTTCGGGTCATCCTCTCAGGTTTCTCTCCTGTGCGTTCACAGTTTTCCTGAAAGACATCAAGATCAGCACCTATGAAATCACCCAATTCCTCTGTCATGTGGACATAGGCTTGCAATGCTAGTGACTACAGACATATGTACAGAAAGGATTGAGAGATTGCTATCCATGTTTATAGTTTATTGGGGTTCACATCAATTTGGCAGTGTTGCATGCACACAGTTTGCTTGAAAATTGTATTGTTTCTTTCTCTTCCTACCACAGGAAATATAGGAGAGGGAGGGCAACACTTCCTTCCATCAGCTGATTTCCCATCCCCAGCCACCATGTACAAACCTGTGAAAGCACTGGCACACTGTCTGCACTGCCATGGATGGCACCCCTTAAATACTATTATTTCCTTAAAAGTTCCATCAGCAAAGTATGCACATTGCTGATATCCCAGTAGGCTGAAAAAAGTTTTAAGTATTTCCACATTTCATAAAGAGCTGTATGCTCTAGCTCCTGAAACCATGTTGGCCTGCTGGTGCAATGGGCGGACAGTCATGGGCCAACCAGGACTGCACTTCAGAGAAGACACCATACATGCTGTGTTCAGTCATGGTAGGGTCATGCCACAGCCACACTGATGCCATGATGACTGTAACTGGAGCAAGGTTTCTCTGCATCAACTTGAATACTTGGTGCCATCCCAGGCTTGCATATCAGCTTTAATATGGACATTTCAGAACTTTGAGCCAACAACCCTCCATAGCCTTCAGCGGTTTCCAATGACCTAACACTAGTGGTTTCCAATGACTTCACACTCAGAGCTGCAGACACTTTATGCTGAGGTTTTCCACCACCATCCCAAAAACAGACCCCCCATAATGCATGTTACACAAATTATGCACACAAATTCTGAAAAACAGCAATCTCAACCGCAATAACCTTGCTTACATATCCTGTTAGACCTGTATGCTGTGGATAAGCAAAGGCAAAACAAATACTCACTTTCTGGTCTGCATGATGCTTGATGGAACGAAAGGAGCCAAAGAAGATAGGCAGCAATGCCATAATGACCAAGCTGCTGTAGGCAATCGCCATTCCCTCCGGGGTAGCCGGAATCTTTCCAGTACCATTTTTCACAGCTTCCGTGATGTTCTCGACAGTTTCAGTCACATTTTCCACAGTTTCCACTGCTATGTCGTCCATGGTTTCTTCTTCGAGTCACGAAGGTTTACGGCAAATGGGTGAGCGAATATCCTCAATCGCTTGCGATGACAAAACCCGTCAACAGCTCTCCATATGCTGAAGCCCGCTTTCAGTTCCGCCGGTAAGACTGCATGGACCAACGCGGGGTATATACCGTATGGACCAGATACTGAACGTGTAACAAGCTGTGCTGCCAAATTTGAAGATTTTCTTTGGGAATCGAAATTTTTAGCAAAGGCGCAATCCTCTCGGCATCAGTCCTCGGATCCATATCATATTGTCCAAGGTACAGAATATCCAAAGATACAGAATGTCCAAAGAACAAAATTCCAAAGGTAAAGAATGTCCACAGTTCATAATGCCCAAAGCACACAACATCCAAAATCAGAAGCAACTTCCAAGATGGTGCAGAGTGGAAGGGGACATTGTGTACCTTTGGGCATTAGGTACCTTGGACAATAGGAACGCCTCCCCAGTCCCTCGAGGCTTCAGAAGGGCATTCTGTGCGGTACAAATGTATCAGGAATCCAAAAACAGGGCCCCTATGGCGACGCAGTGAGCCCCCTTGTCTGAAAGCCTCTGAAGGCCTCTTGCGCCTAGATATGGTCCCTCTATGGCGAAATTCCGGCTACGTCACTGGCGTTTTCATAGTTTCTGAATGGAAAGCAGAGCTTCGAAAAGTTATTTCTCGCTTTAGACGATATGCAATTTGAAGATGATGAACTTAAAAAATCCTTCACATTGGATATTCTGTACTTTGGACACTACGTACCCTGGACAATGGGAACACCACCCGTCCACACATAGCCGGTTGTATTGTGATTTGGGCTTAAGGGCGCGTCGACAGCCGCGGCCATGTCACGCCCGTTACATTTCGTTCGAGCCGATCTAAAATATATCTCCATTTTCCCGGTGTTCTTCCGAGGTGCTTTTACAACTCTCTTGCCGATCTGGAAAGGATGTCGGAAGGCAGGGCCCGCGCGTCACCCGTTAATTGCCCGCATACGCGCCCGGGTAGACATTTTGCACGTTTCTTCGCCTCACTGCATCAAGTCTGCGTGTCTGGGAAGTGTCTGGGAAACCAGAGGTACGGGGTTCGATTCTGCGCAGTGCCCACCCTTCGTACCAGGGTGAGAATTAGGCGACGCCATACAGCATTACCAGCTGAGTGCGTCGTAGATCCCCGATGACGACGGAAACAGCGAAGTCAAACTCATCCAGCACATTTTAACATCACTTTATTGTTCACATCAGACGACCTGCTCAGCTACTCACATAACCTTGACGATGCAATTTCTAGCGTCATGAGGTGAAAGATGAGAATGATGCTACCCTTTTCGTGATGCATGACAGTGTACAAACAAGAGACGCCGCATTACCCGGGCTAATTCAACCGAATGCCAACGGACAATTTGGGAACGAAAATCAGTGAAACAATACAAAATAGAGTACCCCAACCTCATGCAGCTTGCAGCGCGTGGGTGCTCCAGTTCTCTCCAGCTCCGCGCGCGCGCGCGCCGCCATCCGGCAACCAATCAGCGTCGGGAGTGGGACACATTCGACCAATCAGCGTCGGACACGTGACACACTGCACGAACCAGCGTCCGGAGTGGAACACGCTCCACCAACCAGCGCCGGACGTGGCACACAATCGACCAATCAACGTGCCGGCACGCGGCGACCAGCAGTTCAGCCACGATGGATGGGGAAAATGCTGTACGTATAAAACCAGTTCGGCGATCCGTCGGCTCTTCACGCTGTGGACATGGGCTCGGGGGCGGCTGCAGCGGCGGCCGTGTCTCCGGCGCCCGCCTGCTTGGTCTCCTGCTTGACGGCATCCTTGGCCTCGGCCGGCTTGACGTCGCCCTCGTCGGTGGCCATCTTCTCCGGAGAGCCGCCCTCCGTCCGCAACTTCTTCTTCTTGCCCGAGCTGGCGGCACAGACAGCGCTGTCACACACGCACGCACACAAAGGACGGCGTGATGACGACGACTCAGCGGCACCGAGTGTGGCACGCGCGGGGAAAGTAACGATGCCGCGATCCCCAGATACACAGGTCAATACACTGATAACGTCATGCGGTGGCAATCGAAACGATGAAGTGCTCGACATTTGTGTCGGCGCTGCGCGCGCGCGTCCCCGAGCTCACCTCTCGTCACGCCGACCGCCCTCGCCCTCGTCCTCGCTGTCCGAGAACTCGTTGTCGCCCTGTACCCGCTTGTCGGAGGCGCGGATGCTGACGCGCTCGTCGGGCGCGTGCGTCTTGTCCTCGTCTTCGTCCTCCTCCTCGTTCACGGCGTCCTCAGGAATATTCTGGGCCTGATGGCGGCCAGGAAGGGTCGGCACACCATTCCGGACCACGGACACGGCACTAATTCCACGTCAGCGGTGCTAGTACACGACAGAATCAAACCCATGTGGGCACAATCCACACTTGTGGGCCATCACTCGCAGACATGCCACGAACTCAAACACTACGTGCGTACACTCAGATTCAGCCATATGATTTAATAAAATTACAGCAAAAGCGGTAGAGGCAATAAACACAGGGTTGCTGCGGCGGAAAACGCGTAATGATGACAGCTTGGCAGAGGAAGCTCCCCTGTAGTGTAACACAACGAAATTCACCAAATCGCATTGCCACCACCATAGGGACATCCAGCTATCCCTAAACGATCGCGAGGAGGAGATGAAAGGCGCGCGGCACCTGGCCACTCACCTGCACTCCTGGCGCGTGGGGCAGCATGCGCAGGTTCTCAAACAGTCTGGTCTTGATCTTGTCCAGGTACTCAGGCGTGTTCTGGTTGGCCATGTTGGACGGGCTGATGTGCAGCTTGAAGTCGGGTCCGAAGTACTCGAAGTAGTCGTTGTAGGGCAGCTCGTTGGCCACATCCACGTTGAGCGCCACGGCCGTCTCGTAGGTCCAGCAGCGGGCCACGTTGCGGATGGTGTAGCCGCCGCCGCCCAGCAGCAGCAGCGGCAGGTTGTACCGCTTGATGAACTCCACGCACTTGGCGTGACCTGACGGCGCGGAAGGCGCGTCAGGTGCGGCCCGGTCAGGCAGCTCCGACCGCTCGGAGGGGCGGCAGACCGGTCACAGGGGTGAGGAGGAGGCACCGATCAGATCGGCTAAACACGGCGCGGCCCGGTCAGGCAGCACCGACCGCTCGGAGGGGCGGCAGACCGTTCGCAGGGGGTGAAGAGGAAGCACCGACCATACCAGCTGTAGACGACGAAATGGGCAAACACGTGCAGTCACGTAGATAGACGAGCGCGGGCGTCCAACACCGTTTCGCAAGCACCACGGCTTTACCATGCGAGTGACAACGTGATATCCACAGAAATGGTGCATTTACACCCGCAGTCATGCAGACTTCCGCAGCTTTTGCAGGCCATTAATTGGGTTAGCATTACGGGCATCCATGTTACTGCTTTCCTCTGCCGCGTTCCAACATCCCCCCCCCCCCCCCCACACACAATAAAGTGTTGCAGCCGCCTTTAGCCTCTGCCTGTCGAGTCGAAGCAGTGCTCTCACTGCCACCTCACCTTTGAGCGCCAGGTCAAAGTGACCTGACTGCTGCCCCCCTCCCCCCCCCCCCCCACCTTCTGAGTGCAAGGCTGAAGCGACGTTCTGATTGCCCGTCCACCTTTGAGCACAACGTCAAAGCGGTGTTATCATCGCTGCCCCATCGCTTTTGAGCGTGTGGGTTCGAGGAGCAGCTCCGACCGCCTCTCACCTTTGAGCGTGAGGTTGAAGCAGCCGAGCCGGTCGCCGGAGAGCGAGTCGGCGCCGCACTGCAGCACGATGGCCGACGGCTGGTACGTCTCCATCACCTTGGACATGATCGGCACGAAGATCTGCTCGTACACGTCGTCGTCGATGCCGTCGCGCAGCGGGAAGTTGACGGCGTAGTACTTGCCGCGGCCGGCGCCGATGTCCTGGAAAGCGACCATCCTCAACACGGGACGCGGGACACCGTCGACCGCGCTGGTCCGTCACACCAGCAGGAGCACACTTCTACAACCTTAGGTTCGTTCAAAGGCGACCGTATTTCTAGCTTGAGGGCACACACGACAAAACCATGACCTCCAGCGCCTGCGCTGACGACGGCGCCAAGTGGTCTCGTTTCACAAGTCGCTGTCGCCAAGCGTCTGTCTGAGCATCACGCATCACACGGGCTGAAACTGCCGCGACGTCAGAGCCGACACGCATTCTGAGATCCCCCACCTGAGAGAAACACCATCCGAACATGGGACAACCGCATATCCGAATAGTTCCACGGCGCCCATCTCCCCGGGTAGTGCTCCCAGCTCGTGCGGGAGCACTCCGACCGGCGCGGCCGCGCCCACTTACCCTGAGGTCGCCCGTGCCGGGGAAGTACTCCCCGTACTTGTGGAACGAGACGGTCATGACGCGGTCGGTGGTGTAGAAGGCCTCCTCCACGCCGTCGCCGTGGTGGATGTCGATGTCGATGTACAACACCCGCTGGTGGTACTTGAGCAGCTCCAGGATGGCCAGCACGATGTCGTTCACGTAGCAGAAGCCGGACGCCTGCAGATCAGCCACAGAGCTCATCACATTTGGGAAGGGCCGACAGCCCTGTCTGTCGCACGTAAAACTTGAAACGCACGGAAGGTTCACCCCGGCGCCAGTGAGAGTGGCCGGCAGCTGCGCGTCCACGCCATAGGACAGAATGAGACCACAATGTGTAAATCGCTCAGCCCCTAGTCCGTGGCCGGGTTTCCAGCTGCGCGAACCAGGGACTGAAAACCTGAAGCTAAGATGTTTGTGCTTAATCTTTACTCACAAGGCAATGCAGGTGCATCAATGCCAAGCAGCGACCCAACAACAAAAGAACGTTTCCCACGTTCCAAAATCGTGTACGCTTTCAGCACAACATATACTTATCATAGCATGAAACCAGCTGTCTGGCGTCCCTGGTTTGGGCAGTTGGACCGAAGCGGGTTCAGCCGCCTTATCCGCCGCTTTTTCGCGCGACAAGGGCGGTTAACAACAGACTTTCCAAGTGGAATGAACGATTTCACAACGGACTGTTTGCGTGGTGTGGACCTCCTTACAACACGTATATAGTTCTGTCGTAGTGTGGGCCGCCTTACAACAGACTATTTGGCGCGATGTGGGCCGCCCTACAACGGACTGTTTGGCGCAGTGTGGGTCGCCTTATCTCGGACTATTTGGCGTGATGTGGGCCGCCCTACAACGGACTACTTGGTGCCGTGTGGACCGCCTTACTACAGACTATTTGGCGTAATGTGGGCCGCCCTACAACGGACTATTTGGCGCGACGTGGGCCGCCCTTCAACGGACAATTTGGCGCAGTGTGGGTCGCCTCACCTCGGACTTTTTGGCGTGATATGGGCCGCGCTACAACGGACCATTTGGCGTGATGTGGGCCGCCCTACAACGGACCATTTGGCGTGATGTGGGCCGCCTTACAACGGACCATTTGGCGTGATGTGGGCCGCCCTACAACGGACCATTTGGCGCAGTGTGGGTCGCCTCACCTCGGACTTTTTGGCGTGATGTGGGCCACCCTACACCGGACCATTTGGCATGATGTGGGCCGCCCTACAACGGACTATTTGGCGTGAGTGGGCCACCCTACAACGGACCATTTAGCGCAGTGTGGGTCGCCTCACCTCGGACTTTTTGGCGTGATGCAGGCCGCCAGCCCAGTTGACGGCGATCTCCGCCGCCTGCTGGTTCAGCTTGACGGCGCCGGCCACCGAGCCGCCCGTGGACAGCTGGCAGAACTCGTACAGGCCGTCGAACACCGGGCAGTCCTCGCCCACGTTAACTGCGGGAGCGGGGCAGCGTCAGACAATGGCCGGACAGGGGCGCATCGCCGTATGTCCGTACGAGACCCACTCCACACGACCACGGAAGTAGGAATGAAGACGCAGCTGGGGAACACCACAGGAATAAGCCATGTGAATACAAGCTCAATGGCACGTTAGTACAAATACAAAATACTGATGGTCAAAGAACCATAACTAGTTGGTAAAACTGCTTTAAAGTCAAAATATACCACGACGCTGAAATGCATTTTAGGAAACTACTTCTTAAATTGATCTTCAGTGGTATCCGTCGAGGCATAACCTAGCATTCAGCATTATTACATTGAAAAATCCTGGCTGGAGCACTCACATCTCTGCATTTGTTTGTTGTACTCGGACATGTTGTCTGGTCGTATGGACCGCAGGAAGCGGATGTAGTCATCGCTGTGGAACTTTGTCATCTCTTCCTGGGTGGCCTTGTGCGGCCGCTGCGGCGAGGAGGACACGGTTTAGTCGCGTCAGGGGACAAGGGGGGGGGGGGCACTATGGGTGCGCCGTGGATAGCAGCCGACACCACAGATATGAGCTCGCCTATGTTCCAGCGAATGATACACCCACTAGGCGTTTGTCTGGGGTTGCCTAGTGCCAGCTGAGTCCTAAGGGCAGTAGTGAAAACGGCATAAGTATATGAAATACTGACGAACAATGAGAAGGGCACGATTATCATGTATTACCTTGCACCAATGCGTACGAAAAGGGCATGCTGTCAAAGCACATGCTTTTCACTAACTGCGTCGGAAAGGGGAGGTCTAACCGGATATTGATCAAGGGAGTCAATTCCCCCCCCCCCCCCCACCAAATATTTTTGATAATTCATAAGCACACTGAGACATCAGCACACCATTTTAAGTAACTGACAGTTGATCAAGCCTATGTCTTGCACTTAAATAATTTTGAGGTCATAATAGGCCAAAACTGAGCAAAAGACCATTTTTGACAAGTGTAGCTGTGAACAGATTGGCATACAAACTGAGCAACACTAGTATTTGTAAACAGAAAATGTGCCCCAATTAATCCATCATTCATATGCCATGTTGTGTTGTTTCAATATTATGCATCAAATATTGGAATGTGAAATACGAAAAAATATTGATAAAGCATGAATGCCAACTTAAAATATTCAACAACACACTACAAATATTTGGCCTCAGACTAATAAATCACCAAATTTGAATAACATACCCTAGATACAACTATGACGAATGCATGCATTTATTTTCAAGCAATTATCTGTAACGATGACTGAGTTATAGTTTGAAATACAACACACTGTCAGTGCCCGGGTGGGCCAGGACCCGTGGCAGCGGGCGGCGGGACTCAGGTCTGCCGCGGCAGCAGAAACCGCCAAAGTTTGTTGTGTGACCCGAGACCGCATACCATACCGCTATCGGTTCCATGACATTAGTGCTACAACAAAAACTCAAACAGGCAGAGGCGTTACATTGCTTCTGCTGCCGACTTACACACGACATTGATGCTACGCCACAAAACTTATACTGCAAAAGTCATACTTGTCATTACTCTACTGCAAATATTTGTAAAGCCACTGTTCATACACGGCATTATTTCTACCGCAAATACTTAAACGCAACTTAAGTGCTACAGCAAACTTGTGGTCAAGTTTTTATAGAAGTGATGGCTGGTATACATCTTTTGCAGCATAAGTTTTGACATGATGTACTCTGTCGCACACAAGTTTTTGCAGGAGAGGTAATGTCGCGCACAAATGAAGACTGCATGAGTCTTTGCTGCATAAGTAATGACGAGCATAAGTTTTTGCAGCATCAGTTTTGTCATGCTGCACTCGCGTCGTTTATGAAATTTTGCAGAAGAAATGATGCAGCATTTAAGAGAAAATTGGATAAGTTTTTGCAATAGATGTAATGGTGTGTATAACCTCTAAAGCATAAATTTTGATGCACAGCACTTTTGTGTACAAGTCTTGGCAGCAGTGCGAACGTCGCGTATGAGTAAAGTCTGCACGACTTTTCACAGTAGAAGTAATGCCGCGCATAACTAATACCGCAGCACTCCTGTCAGCAGGAGGTAGCACCAATGTCGTAACAAGGGCGCTACCGATTGGTATGTTATATTTTTTAATCTGGCCTCGTCGCTCTGAAGACGAGCAGGGGTGAAATCCGCAACCTCCGGTCAATGGTGTCCCGCTGGGGAGCCCGGCGAAAGACGAGCAGACGAAAACACAACACAGTGATAAAATCAACTTACGTAGATCTCCATTTTTCTGTAGAGACCATAGTTCAGCAGAAGGTTGTGGGTCATGCGTATCCGGTGGGGTTTCATGGGATGACCTTGACCATAGTAATAGTTTCCGACATCGCCTGTGAAAAAGAAAAGTTCGTGGTACATGACCCATGTTCCCGACTTGAAGCGTGCGATGAACACGTCGAGCAGGCACTCTGGGCCAACAATAATGTCACCCGGCCAAAAAGAAAAATACGACACCTGTGGGAGTCAATGAAAAGCAGATGTACCAACATTGCAAACAAAATCTGCAATGCAAGAACTCTAAAACTGTTGCAAGGGAACCTGGAAAGAATTTCCAACCACACACATGTACCAAAGACATGCGAACACAGGACAAAGACAGCTTACTGTTTCACACTTGTCACCCACACAAACATGGGAAAGCTCAGAGAAAGCACACAAACAGCTCATATCTACCCGCGGAGCATGTGAAAGGCGGCAAAGAAAATCGCACGCGTCTAGTTGGTGTTCTCTGACGCACCCAGGCGCCGCCCAATAGGCCGTCTCTCTTTCGCCAGCAGCAGGGGTGGCACCAGGCCCTGGCACGCACGAGGGGGAAGGCACGCCCCAAGAGGACGTATGCGTCCCTCCAATGAGCGACAACCTTGGCATGACGCTCCCAGCAATGGATGTTCAGTGTGTACATCAGGCGGCCCAGTAACAACAAATAACCATAGAGCTCCTCAGGATGGGAGAATCTCATGCTGCAACAAGATGAGACCTGAAACACACTGGTTGTACCATGACAGCCAGTGTATCAGACCCATGAGACAAAGTGACCTTCCAAAAAGTAGTATAAGAAAACACCAATAATTCTGAGTACCAAAACCCAGTGAAGAGACTTGCTTCCAATCAATGATGCTTTAAATGTCTGAGCCATCTTTTCTGCAAAACTAGCTTTCCCTATGCATCACATATGATGTAGGCTTATCTGCTGAAAACCTTTGGTACTATGCCTTGTCGAAAACAACACATCCATATGGTATACCTGCAATGAACTGGCTTGTAATACTAGGGGCCTGCTAGGACTCAACCATTATGACAATGGTTTGAATTGTGTTGACTAAAACTGACAACACTTACTAATCAACTAATTTGGCAATACACTATCAGCACAATATCTGCATGTCTATTGCCTGGAGAAATGACAATTGTGCAGTTTTTGTACAAAAGTGATTGTGGCAACTGGGGTCAAGTTAAATGGCAATTCTATCTCGGCAACACTAATCAAGACTATTTATCAGCTAAATTTCTCAGAGTACAACATTTTGCATTCAGTCCAGCAATAGCCATTGGACACTACATCTATTGGATTACACAACACCAATACACTATGTGTACTTCACACACTATCACATGCAAGGGACCCCAATCCTCAGCTTTTCATGACCTGGTGAACAAATTTGCCTTTGATTTGGCTGACCCAATGGTGTCAGATGAGTAGTTAAGAGCTGGTCTGCCCCATTGAATTAATGACAATGTTACAATGAATATCGTCCACTGTGCAGCAGCTTGATGCTCTACCTGCAAGCTGGGGCCAATCAGCTCAGCACAGCTGCCTATCAGGAGAGTTATTAAGAAAGCCTGACACACTTATGACATAATATCAGCAGCTTCTAGAGTGCCATCAAACAGTACAAATGGGTAAATGGTTCCAATGCAACTTACCAATCACAAGATTTTGGGCCAAGCTAAAAGCTAGCAGAAAGTTCTGAGGCAGGCATTTGTAGAACATGACAGTTCTGAGGCTAGCATTTGTAGAACACAATATGCCAGACATTCTCAAGTACTTCACAGGGTCAACACTAACTCCTGCTGGGCAAATAACTGAGAGAAATGCCAGGAATATCCGTCCAGGGTAACTCAGCTGGTATAACGCTGGACTCGAAATCAGAGGATCCCAATTCAAATCACAGTAAATCCAAGAAGAAATTTAGCCTGACACACGCACATGACTGAAAGCTTAAACGGAGTCCTAGGTTTCAATGATATCTGGGCAAAGCCTGATAGCTAACAGCCAGAAACATCATGTACATGTACAGACATCAGATAAAACCAAAGTCAAAACATCTTTTCCCTCTGCATTACTATCCTTGCTCTCAATCCTTTCATTAACCAGGAAAATATTATTCAAAATGAGATCAATGGCATCGGCATGTCTACACAAAAATTTCACCTGTGATCCACACATGCATCTGACACAAATGGCAAGACAGGATATTATAATCAGATGTTTTTCCCCAGTGCTGGACATGCTATGAGACTGGCTAGTCAAAAATCTAATAATATGCAATCTGTTTAGATATACCTAGTAAGGGGAAATAAGCCCACACCATGGCCTTGTCCCCCCAACAAAAATCTGTACAATTTAGTTCGCCCTCTTCTATCTGATATCTCACCAACACCTTGTCACCTCGAGTTTCATGCTACAGTAAAACATTGAAAATGACCACCCTAAGCATCCTTGATGTTGCTATGATGCTTAGGACACTGACATTTATCACATGGCATTTATGATATGGCACTTATGACACTCACACTTGACATTCCATCATTTATTAAAAAAGTATCAGACTTCAGCTTGGCATGCAAATATTATGGGCAATCATTCAATAAACATATTTAAAAGCTGACAGCCTGTCAAACCTGACACACTGGTTATCCCAGCATTGGTAACTGAGGGAATTTCCCAACATCTCCTATCTTTATCTTAGAACTTATGATGCTAAAGCAAAGAATAGTCAGACATAAGGTAATCTCAAATAAAACCGCACAGAATCAAACTTTCAGGCATAGTGTAAAGCCACTGAGACTCTGTTACATTGATTGATCAGTCATCAGGCATACACTTATAAGCATCTATAATTTCAGACAACTGCATGTCAGTTATGCCTTCTTTAAAGGAACACCTAGGCAAGTGTGATAGAATCAATACTTATCTCAGTGTTTAATGATGCCATATTATATTCTATATCAACAATAATAAAAGCAATATTCCTAACCTCACACTTAGATGCATTTAACTGGCATGACCATCATCAGCATATAGCTAAGCAAAGGCTGAAAATTGGTTGTACCCTAAAATTGCATACAATGTTTATAGGAAACATTCTCTGGCATAGCAAGGATGTGAAAGTTTGGACAGCAATTAACATAATTTTGATGATGGCTGACAGAAAACAAATGATTATCCTAAAGTAATCAGGCCTTATGCAAATCTGCAAACCTGCCTAGCCTGCAATGCAGTGAAAATGCACCACATGGTCTAGAATAAAGACATAAAAAGTGTACAGGGTGCTACAGGGCTGCAGACTAGTTCACGAGACAGCTCAATGACAGCTCTAGATGACTACATAACACTGATGCACTGAACCTGGCACACACATTGTGAAAAGTAAGGCCAGGCTAAGAAGCTGACTTTGGAATATCATAATTATATGATAATTATTGCTTTGAGAACTGAAATTATGCCTGTCCAGTATCATGCACTCAAATGAAAGTTGGAATGTCACACTATGCCATACATGTTGAGCATAATACATAGGCTTGGAGTTCAGGCTATGAAGGGTCCAGAACTCTCAGGAACCTGTGTGATCTCAATGGAATGTTCAATGCATCTAAATGGACTTTCAACACAGATTCCCCATGGATTCCCTGCGGCACCCACCCTTCCTGCCAGAGTGAGAGGCAGGCGATGCCATATAGCCTCAGCAGCTGAGTGTGTCATAAACCCCTAATGATATGGCATGAAATCACATTTAGCTAAATTCCAGTTTTAGATAAAAATACAATCGAAATTATGACAAAATTAAGAGCCTCTAACAAATGCTCCAATAAACTGAGCTGCACCTCTGGGCCTTACATGGTTTCCATGCTAGCTTTACAAAGTGAAGCACTGCATCTTCAGATCATCTTCAAAAATATAACAAATGCATTCACACTAAAGAACTGCAATTCCAAAAAGCGCACCAACAAAGATAATATTCTGGGGTTAGGCCGCATTCGAATGCACTTATTTATAAATTCAAATGCCGTTTCAAAGGGTTGTAGACAACTACGGCGCAAAGGCGCCGGCGTCCAAATTGAATGCACAGCGTTTACATCGTCCACCCCTGGGGCAACAAATAAATGCCAAAGTACCCCAAACATTCCTATTGAGACAACTCACTGTCGTAGTAATAGCACACCCTCTTCTTGCTGTGCGTTGGCGCGGCCATCCCTCCAAACCACCCGGTCCCCTGCCGGGCAAAACACACGAGAGGAGCGAGCAGTGACCTCTGTGTCTACTTGTGCAAGTTGCTCAACCGGGCTACAAAGGGATTTTTTTAGTGATCATTCCGAGATACGAACTAAGTTTCCGTTGGATATCTTAAATAAAAACAACATAGAATCTTCCCAGGAGATAATTAGTATAAAGAGATCGAGCGGGTTCATATCCTGCAGGCGGTGTTTTCGAAATCCTGTTCACGTACTTAACCCAAGTAATTATATCGTTCGAAGTGTTTGCTGGTTTGACAAGTATACGTTATATCGAAAACAATTTTTAAAATAATGTATAGTTCATGTGCTTATCCAAAACTATTTTTGGTTACCAATGTATAGCGAACCTCTTGATAATTCATGACAGACAATCTTGAAGTTCTTACTACGATTATCGCGCACTTGATCAGTTGCGAGGACATTCGTTGGGAGTGGGTTGCGCGTTGCGGCAGGAAATGGGGGAGGTGGGTCTTGGCGGCAGGTGCGCATGCCATTTTTGGAATTGGGAAGGAAAGTACGCAGTGATTTTAAAGACAGCAAATAATGCCGAGAAAATCGATGCCTCTCGCGCCGCGAAGACCGACTACGATGAAATCGAACTCAATGGCGTCGAAACTGAACCTTGCGGTTTGGAACCGTTGTAAGAAATCTGCACACGAGTGGATGTCGATGTGAGGATTATTCATTTGGATGAGGAATTAGATTTCAGTTTGCAATGTTGCATAATGGGCTGTTGGCACCTGTCCTCATGACTATCAACTAGGTTCCTTGTGCAAGGAAAAACAGTGCACAAGCCAGGGCCTCACTGTTTCATCTGAATTGAACAACTCAAGCATCTTGTGTGGCATCCTAGTTTTTAGTTACTGTATGCCTCATTCAAATAATGATTAACCCATGTCAAACCACCACTTTCTGCCTGCTGATAGGCATAGGCATTGCCTTTATGGCCTCAAGATCATCAAAGTGTTGGCTGGACAATGGTGACAAGGAGATAATATCAATATGTGAAGGCCAAAAACCAGTTGGAAGTATGTGTTACCTTATCTGCCATGCAACCATTGGGGACTGCTTTCCCTTCCATGGGTCAAAGGACCTGGTGAGAAGTGTCACTCTGAATGGTAGCAAAGCCATTCTGAAGATGAAGAATCTGTCCATCTTAAGTGAAGAATATATTCAGTCACTTGTAAGCTTTGAAAAGCATGCTGACCAGCAAGCTGTTTTTGCAAATGTACTGCAAGGTCTTGTTGCCTTTGAAATAGGCAATGATGATAGTATGGATGTGCAGAACCTGCTATGGCCTTGGCAGGACATTGCTGATCTCTTCAATGAATCCAAATGGCCAGAACTGAGGCAAATCCTGTGGTTTGCTCACAATGATGAGTTCAAGTTGATGCAGCTGCACCGGCACCTGTCCGTGTTCCCAGAGCTACTGGGCACCTGTGGCAACATGTATGCCGTGCAGCATGTGGCGATCCTGCTAGACAGCCCATTGCTGGACATGCTGCCTGCCTTCATGGACATTTGCCATGCAGCCCGCAGTGTGAGCCGCATCCTACAGTACCTGCGCCGCCTGGTGACTGCCTTCCCAGGTGGCCTGCACCTCTGTGACCTCAAGTGGAGCCACTTTGGTGAGGCCCCAGATGGCCGACTGCGCTTCATTGACCTGGATGCTGCCTTCCTGCCTGCCAAGATGGCTGCTACACAGCAAGCGACTGACTGCCACGCCGACGCCGACTGTCACTTCTTCGACTGCCGTGGCACGTGCGACCAGCGCCGCGGCCGCTGCCGGCCGCAGGTCAGCGACAACATCAGCAATTTGTGCCGGCAGCTGGTGTGGCCGCGCGCGGCGCTGCTGCCTGGCCGGCTGGGCCTGCTGGGCTGGTTGGTGGACCCCAAGGAGGCGGCGCTGCTGGAGCGGTGCGCCGAGGGCGGCGGCGCAACCCTCGCTAGCCAGGTACAGGAGCTGCTGGCGGCGCTCGAGGACAGACTCTGCGGCGCCGGCTGAACGGCAGGCCCGGCAACGGCGAGGGCCGGTCGCTGGGACGGTACCACCGGGCAAGCGGAGTCGTGCTTGGTGCTCGGATGGTCGGCAAGCCGTGATGCGACTTTGCTGAGTATTGTTCTGTGAAGTGCGCTTATGATTACTCGGTACAAATCGTTATGGAGGCATGTTGTGTGCACAGGTATTTGGTTAAACCAATGGACTTCCATTATATTTCATATTTTGATGAGGGACTAGATATTATCTTGATTAGAGAGTCTTCCGAAGTGGTTTGTTTATGGCTGTATGGCTTTTTTGCTTCCATGTAGATTAGGGCCATTTCAGCCACCAATGATCACTTCTGAACTTTATGATTAAAGGCGGTGTAGAGTGGTGAAGTGAGACTGCGTGCATATCACAGTGTTCTGCTACAGGGCCTTATCCTGCGCAGGGATCCACTTTCGCCCGCGGGAGCTCATGTTGGGTCAGAGGAGGCGCGTCGTAGCCGGCTCGTGGCTGATGCATAGACCTCGCTCCCGATAGACGGGGCGCTGCGCCGATTCAGGACGAAGCGTGAATGAGGGAAGAAGTATGGTTCCGTTCTTTGAAGAAAAAAAAATTGTCTTGTTATTGCTGCTAGTATCACATTGTTCCCACGCTGCCTATCCAAACAGTCTGCATTATCTTGTGATGCATATTCCGCGATCAAATGAGCTTAAGATGTTTGAGCGAAGTCCCCTTTTTGCACTGAACTGGATGCGCGGTGAATGGTTCATGAATGTTCTGCACCAAAACGAAGACTGGAAATATTTGCAAGTTCACGGATGCTCGTTGCGCCTGTCATGGTACAACGGGCATCACAGTGACAGTGCCTTTTTGGTAATACCTCGTTGGCTACGCGTTAAATGCCCTTCGTGTTTGGTTAAAACTGTCGTAAGCTTAGAGCCAAAGCATTCCTGCATTGGAATGCTTGCGCTGGTTGCTCTTGCATTGCGTTGTATGGCACTGTGTCGACGCACAAACTGTGATTACCCTGCTCCGTTTGTATATGTGCCGTTTGGTGTCTGTTGTTTGGCGCTGATGCTGTGCTGTGTCACGGAGGTTGTGGTGATCGGTGATCGAGCCGCCGTGGCTGCGTCGTGGACCAAATACATTTTGTGATATATCTGATCACAAATCTTTAAATTAATCTAGCGGGCCTTTCCAGTGCCGTCTTTGCTCGAACACATTGCGGGAGAAATAACAAATCTAAGCACGAAAACCACGTCATGTCTCAGATTTTAACGGCAAAGTTGTGCTGGGGATTAGCTGATGCATGGCATCCCCTTGCCACGATGTGAAATCCCTGTGACATGTGGATCACTAGGTATGTCCCGAGGCCCCTTCATATCCTCTTCGTCGGAATGTTCTTAGCGCTGCGGGACATGCAATTAAGTGCGGAATATGCACAACGTATATATTTTCGAGATTACGCGCATTCGTACGATGGAACAGAAAAGAAAACTGGTCTAAGTCAATTAGGAACAGTGTGCTCGTGACCTGGGTTAAAGGTCATCACTTCGGCATCGCACAGTGATCGTTCTTAATCTTTGATAGATCGAGTTTCCATAGCAAGAATAATATCCGAGGTTACGAGTATCTAAATAGGCTTCCCATCGCTCAAAGCATGGTCCTTGTCACTCATTTGGCATTCGGATCTCACCTAGATGGAGCGTTTGTCCACCAAGTGGCATGCCACTAGTGCATTTTTGATTATTCAGGTTCCTATACAAATTGGCAGTAGTAATTTGGTGCGTTGAAGCACCTAGTGCGGGTTAAGGATCAGCTGTGTCTGGTCTATCGGTAGCAATATATATAGCCCGGTCTGCCCGTACTACTTGACGCACGCGTTTGGCGTCACATCGTCAACAAAAATTTGTGAAATATTACCATGTAACATAGTTTTGCATTACAAAAGCTATAAAACGCCGGCACCAAGTGACAATGCTCGTGCGGGCGGTGATCCAACGAGCTGTGAGCGAACAATGTTTCTACGCAACGCATCCTAAATTTTACCCAAGACGTTTAGATACCTGATGCACACTGGAAAACAAATAATATCACCCTTTCTCCAATGGCTGTGAACTGGTCTCCTGTTTTTTTTTTGTTTTTTTTTTAAATCACCCAACCCAATATCCCATCGTTGCTTGACAGCCGATCTGCTTCATTTGAAACAAACTGACATTGTTTTGAGTGCTTGAAATTGTCTCGGCTGTAGCGAGTCATGCGCGGGGATTCTCGGTCATGCCCGCGATCTCTGACTTTTATGATGACCGTCCCGATATTGATGGCCATTTTCTAGGTGCAAAGTTCTCACATGTCCTTGACTCGGAGACTGTGCCGTAAAAGTACGGGTCAGGCTCTGTCTGGCCTCGACTCACTTCACTATCCTGGCTCCCGCAATACCGCCACATGCCGTCTCTCCATGAGATTTACCTCCTAAAGTCACGCTCAGCAAGCGTTCCAAAATCTATGTATTGAGTGAAGTCACCGCCCACACGGGGTGGTCAATGTGCCTCCCGCGGAGGTTTCCCAGAATATTTTTTCGAAAGGTAGACATAGCCGAGCTCAATTTTGTTCCTCTATCAGCAATCACGAGCCTATTTTATATAAACATTAGATATAATGTGGCCCGCGGCGCATCTATCCGCCGCGGGCTACGTACCGCTTTTTCCGGCGTGCGAGAACGGTTTTGTTTGTCACATTCGGCCCGGTCACTCGTCCCTGACACGCGCGCCCGGAACATCAATAGGAGTCAGTCCTTAAAAAAGCCGACCCCGGCAGAGGAATATACAGCCACAGTCGCGGGATACAGGAGCAATTATGGTGGCGGAGACAAATACAGTCGCAGGGATATTGTGACGGACAGCGATGTTGGGAGACCGTATCCTCCTGCGCCGACGGCTGGGCGCTGAGCGTCTTCGCCTCAACAAAACGTAAGCCCGGCTGGGGATTGCCGACCCTTAGGCGGCTCCCTAATGTCCCGGCCCCTTTA